TTGGGGTCTGCTCAACCGTCACCCTGTACTACGACGAGTCGATTGGACAGTACGAGCAACTTCAAGCGGACAACCATGGTGCTTTGGTTGAACAGCTGAGACAGCGAGCTAAGCGGTTTGATTATACAAGGGATCCGAGACTCAACGGTGGCGTTCCCGCCAGTCTTGCTCTGTCTGACTTTGACACGGTGGCTGGAAGTGAAGCTGCGCGGTCAAGCCAGCGAGCAGCCGGCATTGATTGAGGGAGCTCAGCCGTCACAGCGTGCGCGGAGCATCACTTACTCTGAATTTTCGCGGAAAGGCGCGGCATCTACTGAATCTACTGCGAGCAAGCGTAAATCCTCGCAGTCTCCCGCTTCGTGCCCGAGATCTACGAAGCATCGTCCCGGTGCCGAGACCAGGCGGCCTCGCAGTAAGGATGCTGTCGACAAGACGGCCTCTAACAAGGAGCAACTCAATGTTGGCAATCTGCAAAAGCGCTCAGCTGCTCGAGCTAAGACATCCACGGGCTCCAAAGCACCAGCGCCATCTGACAAACCTGAACAAGCTGAGCCGCAGCGTTATGGTGGCATCAAGCGGGAACACGACCCCATCGCGCATGCCGCTGCATCCAAGAGACACACACTTGCTGATTCACCGCGCATGACTGTACGAGCCGGAGATGTCTTGCTGTGGGATTGCGACCGCTGTCAGAAACGCATCTTCGCGGTGAGCAGCATGGCTTTGGGCTATGACAGGCTAGCCCACATCACTATCCACCACAAGGGCATCTACTGGCCCACACTGGTGCCGCCGACCACCGGCGTTCTGGCATGGCGGTGCGCGCAGTGCAAGCATGGCTTCCTGCAAGGTAATGGTTCGCATAAAGGCGTCTTCAAAGCTTCCGCAGCACACCTCAAACAGTGTCCAGGTGCAGCCGCTCCATGGCTAAATTATCTGCGGCTTTGCGCGAGCAGGTGCAACAGGGTGTCTTCATCTTTCCGCCCACCGAAGCCGCCGAAGCTTTTGCGCAAAAATGCGCTGATGCGACAGCCACAGATGAAGAAATTCACATGGCTGAGATGATTAAACAGTCCGTCCTCTCAGATATATGGGGCTGCCGACGGTGCGGCCAAGTCTGGCATAAACATGCAACAAAGTGCCACACCGGGAGGTGCAGTGACGATACGATCATTGTGCAGGCCAGACAGCTCTTCTTGAAGCAGCAAGCAGCTTGGTGGGGCACGACGGGGTTGTCGCATCCACATCTTTGCGCGAAGCGGATCCGATTTTTCCTTTCCATCTACGCATTTTGGAGCTTCTAGAGTTGGAACACAATGAGGTTCTGAAGTACAAAGCCTACCGACGACGAGTGGTTCCGTTGCAGAGGGTGGAGTGGTTCCGCACATGGTCCGTGAAGTCGAAGACGGCGAGAGGATCCATCCGAACCCGGGTCCATCGAGTGCGTGGTCGGAGATGGTGGCCTCGAGTTGCGAGCTTATTCGGTTTGGTGACCCTCCGAGCCGTTTGCGAAATAGGCTACCGCCCCTTAGAAAGGTTCGTTGGCGCGTTGAGTTTGAGGACAGTGAGTGCATCCATGTGCATCCATCCGAACCCGGGTCCTCCAGTCATGGACGCGAACGAGGTATCGCAGGAGCACGCTCCCGCCAAGGCGATGCAACAAAACTCGCGCTTTTGCTTTGTGAGCGTCGGAGGGCTCTCCAATGCATATGATGCACTAGGCTACTTGAGAGGGCTTGGACTTGGAACATCGTCCACAAATTTTCACTATGGCCGAAATCAGAGCTGGATCTCATGATCGAGCTGTGCTGTGAATCGGACAAGAAAGTTTCACGAGAAGGATGGACGCCACACGAAAAAAAGGATGTCCCATCTACACAGGCGGCATCCGTGCTTGGTGAGCAAAAATGTGCCTTGTATGGAGGACTAGCAATGGTGTGGTGAGCAAGGCGAACTGATTAACTTGCGTGTGGGAGCATCCCTTGGTGACGGTCGCTTGGAGGCGACCTACCAAAGACCATGACTTCTTCGCAATCGCGATTGCGACGACAGCAGCTGGTGCCGCGGGTTGTGCTTCGCCGATCACAATCTGCTTCCGGAGGATGCGCCCTTTTCGCCACCGGGATGTCTATCCTCGTGCCGGCGGATGAAAAAGGGGCGCGCGTACTTATAGTCGATGGCATGGCGAGTGGGCGATTGACTGGGGCCTCACCAACGACGGCTTCAAACGAGCTTCGGTGCGGAAATTAAAGCCCAAAAGCCCAAACGCTTACACTCCTGAGCCCCTAAGCCCAAAAGCCCCAAAGGCCCTAAAGCCCTAAGGGCCTTAAAGCCCGAATCCCCAAAACACGAAACGGCCAAACGCTTAAACCCCCGAACCCCTAAACCCCCCAAGGCCAAAATCCCCAAAAGCCCAAACGCTCTAAAACCCCAAACCTCTAGACCCCTAATTTAAGCCCGAAGCCGCAAAACCTTGATGAAATGCCTAAACCCCCAAACCCCTAAACCCTTAAAATCCAAAATCCCAAAAGCCCCAAAAGACTTAAAGCTCTAACGCACTAACCCAAAACCCCGAAACGCCTAAGCGCCTACACCCCTAAACCCCTAAATCCCCAAAGCCCCCACAAAACTCCCTGGACACCTAAGCTAAAGCCCGAGACCCCTGGTCCCCCAAACTCCAACCCGCTAATCCCCAAGACCCTTAAACACCAAGACCCCTAACTCCTTAAACCCCTGAACCCTTAAGCCCTTAAACCCCAAAGCCCGCAACTTTTAACTCCCTACCACCCTAAAGCCCTAAAACCCTAAACCCTTAAACCCTTAAACCTCAACCCCCAAAACCTGAATGAACATATTTAGTTTTTGTTGGGTCGGTTAGTGACGTTTATGGACAATTTCTATTGATTTTATAGAAAAATTTCTATTGATTTTATGGAGAATTTCTATTGATTTTATGGAGAATTTCCATTGTTTTTAAGGAAAAGTTCTATTGATTTTATGGAAAATGTCTATTGATTTTGATGTGGTTGTTTCTATTGATTTTTATGTTTGATTCTACGGATTTTGAGGATTTCCATTTCTATTGCAAAACATCTTTTTCTATTGGTTTTGATCAACAAAACAACAACGCTGAGAAAAATCACTCGCGATTGATTTTTCTCAATCGGCGGTCCTCTGGGAAACGGAAACTGAGGAAGCGGCTGAGATTGGCAAGGAGGAATGTCGGCGAGGAAGCGGGAGAGAAGCCAGTCGCGAGACTTAAATAACCTGAGGAAAGGGGCGCTGTCACCCCGAAGCAGCTGTCGAACCAAGGTGTGGGTGCTCATCGGGCTTAAAACGAAGCCCTTAGTGCCGCCCCCGGAGTCCACACACCTTATGGGAGGCTAAACGAGAGCAGACTGCGCCGGGGCATTTTTCATTAGTCAACGGTGGCCATCATGGTTTTGCAAATTTTCAAGATGGCCAGTCGGTGTACCCGTATCCGTCATCATACGTTCATGTCATCAGTAGGGCGCCGCCTGAACCATCCGAAGCCCTACCTCTGCAGCCGAGGACGCGCCACTGTTGCCGGAGTTCGTGGCCACTCCGCCGCAGAGACAAAGCCAGGGCACAGGGTAGAGTAGGTAGTTGCATTGGCAGGCTCGTTTCTGCTTCGTCTGGTAAATGACATAGCCATTTTTGATTAGCTGCGATGAACTGTCCGGTTTCAACCGAGAGTATAACCGGAACAGCTTTGAGCCTTCAGCCACTTCAGTCGTCCAAGCAACTGAAATTTAGGCGGCGCTTGTCTCCACTATGTATGATGCAGTGGAGGCCCTCTGTGCGGAATGCATTTTGAGCTTGTGATGCTCAAACCATGGTCAAGCCAGGGGCACCTGGACTTCTCGAAACCTCCTGGTGGCTCAGGCTGCCGGGCCAGGCTCTCAACAGCTTGTCGAGGCCAACGCGGATTCTTCCGATTTGGGCTGAACACGCAAGGTCATCGATCTCACCGAAGCAGAAGAGGCACCGGCCCGCCTGTAGGAGAAGTAGTGCAGCAGCGAGGTCGGGCATCCAGAGTTTTAGACTTGCAGCCTCATGCCCTGGACAGATCGCTTCGAGCTGTACATCGTCCGTGCTCCATCTGATGCTGCACTCCGGCTGGATTTCTTTGATAGAGCACCGTAGCTTTCAGCAGGGTGGCGGCTGGATGTTAAGCGGCCGGTTCCCACAAGTGACAAAGGCAAGGGTCTGCAAGGATTGTGGGCCACTCCACTTGAAACCCACGCCTACCGCAGGAAATATAGTCTGCTCTCTTCATCAACGGGTGAGAGTCTCATCCAAGCTTCCGCAACTGAGTAGTTGAAGAAGTATGAACAGTAGTATGAACTACTTCCAGTGCGATGCTTCTGCAAGCTTTTCCGTCGATTGCCTGTGCAACATATGGGAACCAACCCCCAGAGGAAGTCCCCAACTCTAGATACAAAAATGAGCAGCAGCGGAAACCTACAAGTCTTGCTTGTTCAACTGCGCGATCTGGCGTCAGCAAGGATAGACCCATCACCGCCAACGGTGCAGCGATGCCTGGCAGACTGCCTCGGCGGGGGAGTGCTAGAGCTGCTAGGAGAAAGGGGCGCAACTCTTTTTTTGGAGGTTGCCAGAGGGGCCGCCTGATGGTGTTTAGCGGCCTCGCAGCAGGGCTTTCAGTTCAAAGAGACTTAGTGTTTGTCGATTCACCTCATGGGTTCAGCATGTTGGAGAATAGCAGCTTTCGCCTCATTGTGTTTTGTCTTCTGGTTTGATTCGTGCTGTGTCGTAGACATGTTGGTGCGTCGAGTTCACATAGTTCACGCACGCGGTCTTGCCTCAAATCTGAGACTTGAAGCAGAGTTTTGGTAGGTTGGGAACTTGCTTAGACTCGCAGATGATAGTTATCTTCTTTCGATTCTGCAGCGATCACGCGCATGAAACGTTCTGAACCCCGCGTGAATCCTGCAGCTGTGCTACATGTCTTTGTCCAGGGAAGCGTCTGACACGCAAGGGAAATGCTGGGTATCCCGCCCGCGCCTGATCTGCTCTCGGAGTGCCGACACGCCTAGCCGCTTCTAGCATCTGCAGTTGGAGGAAGTTGCAGCGCATTTGTTGTAGTCGTGGGCAAAGGGGCCTCTTTTGGCATAGAGCATTCGGCAACGTATGTTGGAAAGCTGGACTCCGCCAGACACTGCCAGAGTCGTCCCTGCCGAGAGCACCGGTCAGTCCTTCAGAGGCCCAGGAGAAGACCGAGGATCTGCCTCCTCTGGAAGATGCCGGGGAGCTCATTCAGAAGCCTGCGACGGTGCGGGTGGTCGGTGCTTTCATGGTACATGTCTCCGTGGCTGTTTGCAATGCCCAAAGTCCCTCAAGGGCGCAGGGGCATGAGGTTTCAGCCCACAGCTTGCACTGCTTGCGCCGCCTGCAAAGCTGATTCAAGCTGAGAATTTGAAGCCCTTGAGATCAGGTGGAGGCGAGCGAAGCGCCCAATTCCGAGGAGGCGGTCAACACGGTCATGAAGATCATGCAGGCGCGGGCATTGAGCAAGCACATTGCTCTCTCTCTCTCTCTCTCTCTCTCTCTCTCTCTCTTAGTTAGTGTTCGTATCTGTGTGTCTCCGTGTCTGTGTGTGTGTGTGCGTGTGTTTGTTTGCAGGGTGCGGGAATAGGGAGGAAGGGCGGGGGAGATGCGAGCCTCTGAATATGCATGAGCTGTCGGTTGCTCAGGAATCCAGGAAAGGTCACGGTGTTAAGATGTGTCAAGGTTCGGTGCGGAGGTTCTGGGTGTGGCTTCAAGCGCAGACTGCAGCCAATCCTTGAGGTATTCCCTTCGTCTGACCGGCTCCAGATGAACTGTCAGCACATCCTGACTTCGCTGCTGGGTGAATGAACCTTTTCCTGCAGGCGTCTGTGGGCCTGGCACAGTAAGAGCGAGTTGGTTCGAACTAGCCTGCAGGTCTATAATATGGCTGCTGGTGGAGTGTTTTGAGTGTCGCGCGGCTGGGACATTGAGGAAGTTTACTGGCCAGTTCCCACTCTGCTGCAGATCTCGGCGGCAATGCCCGCAGGGGAGGTTCGACACTTTCAGCAGAATGCCGAATGCATATTGATTGAAAAATACTCTGCATGTGCGTTCGCCAGTTGTGCCGCTAGACAGGGTTTGGAGCTTTGGCTGTAGTGGCAGACGCGGTACTGCGATATCCCAATCGGTCGCCATGTCCCTGGCGCGTCAGGAGCCTGGCCTCTACTCAGTGTCGGATGATAGCAGCTAGAGCAGCTAATGCCGTAGTCGTGTGGTCGAGACGTCAGTGCAATGTCTTGTGCTTTCTTCTCTTTACAACAAGTTGCTGCAGCAGTGTCCTATTTGTAGCATGAAACGATTTCTATACTGCACAACGAAAGCATGGCCTCTGTCAGAGCCGCTTTGATTTCTTGACGCTGCAACCTTCCAGCCTGTCCATGCTAAAGGCGCTGGGAAGAAAGGTTTCAGGAGGCTCCAGCACTCCAGGGTTCGGTCTTGACGGCCCAACCTGCAAATCTCGCACCTCTGTCGAATCAAGTTGTAGATCCATAGCTCAGTACATTGCAAACCCACCGGACCGGACAGGCGTCATGACCGAGAGCCGGACAGAGCACGTTCAGCAGAACCACAAATCGTCATTGCTGGAACAGCGAAGAAGGGCCATCTCCTAAGCCTGTGACAGACTGATGAGACCTCGTAGCTCTTCAGGGGCAGGGCCCCACAGCCGCAGCCAACCTCCACAAAACCAGACGGAATTTTAGATCCTGCATACAATCACACGGCCTTGCGAACCATGCGCTGAACACCAGTGCGGTCTGGCCCTCAGCTGTTCAGGCAAAAAAGACGTGGCACGCAAACGGAGCAGGGACAAGTCAGCGGCCGGTAGTGGCTGGGTCAGGTTCACCTTTCAGATTGCAGTCGGATGTTTCGAAGTGCATGCTAGGAGAAGCATCCGGAGGATCCGGTAAGACATCTGGCACACACACTGTACCTTCATGGCTCCCAGCATCCCAGGTCCGGAAATGGCGACTAGCAGCCCGGCCATAACCTTGCAGAAGATTGCAGGACGAGCCTTTCTGTTCTAGAAGTGCAGCACAAGTCGCAAGCAGTCTGCTAGCTGTACTAGTTGCTTTTGTCAGAATGTGTAGTTCGGTTGGTGAGATAGCTAGTTCGAGACATTTCTGAACAGATGAACCAACCTTGCTCAAGCAATCTAACTGCACCTGGAAGGAGACTGCATCAAATCAGTGCGGTCGATTGTTCCTCCGGAAAATGAGGAGGAAGCAATCGATGCTCGGCCGATTTCATGCTGATGTTGCAGGCCTTTTGCAGTTTCATTGCAATTGTGCATGGTGAAGTGCGCTCTTTCGTGTGGCATAGTTGAGTTTTTCTGGCCCATGCGTCAGTTCCTTGGGTGGGTTCTGTCAGCTTCACTTACTTGCTGCCTAGGATCTTATTGTGAACATATGGTCAACTCTGGCGGCACAGATGTCTCACAGCACCTTGGCATGGGTCTGCGTGGATGTTCAAAGACCTAGGCCCTACCCCGACTCGTGGGCACTTGTTTTGTGGGTCAGCTCCTGTTGCTCGCCGTGCAGGTCGCGCTTTTTCTAGGTTAGAGAGTGGGTGGGGGGCCGAAATGGCGTTTCTGTTTGTAGCCGCCGTCATAACAGAGAATGGAGCCTCGTGCAGTTCTGACTTAGAATCAGAGGCAGCCCCTACGACTGGCTCCCCGGCTTTCTGTGTTGAAGTACCTAGCAATTCGAGTTACTTAGATGGGATAGTGTTATCGTTTAAGGTTCAGGGCTTACGGATGTTTACAGTTCACGGCTTAGTGGCTTTGCGGGTTTGGCGCAGTTTGCAGTAGAGCGGTGGGGGACTCGGAGAGGCATCGGCCCTGTCACACACACACACACACACGCACACGCACACACACACACAACTCTACACCAGCTTGACCCAAAGCACAAAAATGCCCCCCATCGCCACCCTGAAAACCCTCAAAGCTCTAAACAAAGGGCTACCCTGGGGCCTGCTCTGAGGCCCTACTTGGCGCCTGAAACTTTCCCTGCTTTCAACACATAAGCTTAATTTAGGGGTTTAGGGCTTTAGGGGTTTAGGGGTTTAAGGCCTTGTAAGGCCAAAGCCATGGCATGGCCGGAGACAGGAGAAGCACAAGAGAAGCAGCGCGAGCCAACAACCGACAGCTTCGAGCAAGCAGCAGCCCCAACTCACAACATGCCCTGATCTCCTGGACCTCGAACAAACTCTAAATCCTTGAGGCTCAATCCCACACTCAAAACATTACACATGCCTTTGGGGACCTCATCCAGTTAAAACCGTTTTCATTATCACCGTTATGGTGGCCCGTATCTTCACTGTCACCAATGTCGCCATGCCGGAAGCGTTCGAAGTTGGCTCCGGGTCATTACACATCATCACCGTCATCACGTTAAGTGGGAAAGCCATACCGGACAACTTCGTCTCCCTCGGAATGTAAGCTCTCGGAACTGCTGCGCCTGCCATACTTGAGTGAATTTTTTGTGCGCAGAATTTGGATGTAAAAGGCAGTTCAAAACTGAAGGAAACTCTGCAGTTTGTTCGATCTTCTCCAACTTCCCCATCGCACATAGAATCTGCGTGTTCCCTGGTTGCATATCCACGCCCTCATTCTTACCCTGAAAAACGTGCTGAATCACACGACCTCGTGCGGCACTGTTACCTTGTTTTGCTGTGCCTTCCAAATCAGAAGTGCAGTGCGGAGTCGTGGCATGTCGCGGCTTCCCAACCACCCCAATGACTGTTGCAACGACATCAGAGGACCTAAACCGAATAGAATCAGTAAGCTAATAAATGTGCAGCTCCCCCTAGGCGCAGCCCAAAGCCTGTGGGCACTGTTGTCTATGTCGCTTGCGTCAAAAGCTTGCCTCCTGTTAGCCTAATCCCGGACCATGTGCAAGCTCTGTCGTTCGACTGTTTGAGCCCTCTCAACGAAGTGCTCAAAGCCGCCGCAGCAGCCACGTTCTTGCGTTGCCTCCAACCCACACTTTCAAATCATGGCAACAGCTTTCTGGCCTTACCTGTGCCCCATAGCCACAGACGGCAGACTCTGTAGATCGAAAGCTTCGATCCGCAGAGGCCTCAAAGTGGGCAAGTCGATGTCTCTGATGCCGTTGGGCCTCTCGCCGATATGGGCTTTGCGATTTTGGCTTCAATTCTGAAGATCTGAAGTCTTCAGGATGCGAAGCCTCGAAGGTGAGTGTTGAGAGCATGGAATTGTTCAGAGGTGCAGCAGGTTGCTTGCTGTTTCCTTGCAGTTCCTTGTCCTGAAGCCAGAGACTGTGCAGATGCACAGGGTCTTGTACAATTCCGATCCGGATTCCAATGCTTACATGTTTGACGGAGCAAGGGCGAAGTTTGAAGACGAACGAATCGAATCGTCGAAGGGCTTTACATCGGCCTTCGGACGACTTGTCGAGTCCGAGGAGTGCTTTTCAATCGATCTGCTTCCAAGCAGCTGGAGCCACAGCTGGCCATTTCTGAGCTTTTCTTGCTGCAGCCTCTTGGTCGCAGTTGGACATTCGCGTCGTGAAGCTGCGAGATTCCTGGCTGTGGTGAGGGGTGGGCTGGAGGTCTCTAGACTCTAGGGTTCTGACGCCTTCCCTCATCCTTGAACCCTTGCTTACGTCGGGCGAGTCCTGTAAGCTTACAGCTGATGTCGCTGTGACACCACTCGTTTTTCAAGATTCGGTGTCGAAGGACAGGAACGTTTCCTTGCATTCGCATCGGATGTGCTGAGTCCCATGTCAATGTAGCCACTGGGGGGTGGGGGGCCATGACGAAACATTCTCCGAGAACAATCACCGGCCGAAAGTTGAACAAGCCCAGCTTGCAGCTCACAACCAGATTCATGCCCTCAACATGACGCGTTTTCTTCAGATTGCAGGATTCTGCGAGAAAACCATTGGATTCACCAGAAATGCCCGAGGCATCAAGGATACGGGGAGCTTGCGGAACTGCCAAATCTCTCTACAACTCAACAAAATGCCCCCTTTGGCACTTCGGCCCTGTCAACACAAGCCTGACTTGTCTTTAGCGGAGGTATGGCATCTCGATGAAGCCGGGCGACCAGGGGCAACCTGGTCCCAGCACGAAAGCTGCGCAACCTGGCTCTAGAGTCGGTTGCAGCTGGGCCCTGGTCCCCCGAGGGGTGCGTGCTAATGTGACAGTTCACGGTCTATGTTTGAGTGTTTCTGGAGACGTCCTGTTTGATGGTGGCGTAGGCGCTGTGGCGATGTTTATCCTACGATCCGAAGCAGCTCAACAACAAGCAAAACGGCTTGCTCGAGCGCTGAGGTACGGAGAGATTGCAGCTGCAGTGCATGTGGCCGACAAAGCCATTATACCGAACGTCATCAATGCGGCTCCTTGGTTGTAGAGCCCATCTTGCCTGCTTGCCTACTGTGTGTAGCATCTTCGAAGTCGTTGCGCTGAGCCAGAATTTCAAAGGACACTGGGTTTCACTTGCAGCTTTCAGTGATCCTTTGTTTGCAGGAAAGGCCTCTGCCTCTGCTTGTGTGTGTGTGCGAGTGCAACGCCAGAAGTCCGTCTGCGAGTTGAAACCCCGAGGTGCTTCACCGGTTCGGAGAGATGTGTACGCACCTGAGTCAAAGCACACAGTGTGTGCACCCCCATTGGGTTTTGGCACCACCTGCATATGCACATGTTGGCAAACCAAGCCAAGAAGCGTGGAGCCAAGCCAAGCCATTTAAAGGTAGAGAGGAGCCCCTCTCTAACAGGCACCGGTGCCTATCAGAAACCCCCTGCCGAACAGAAACCTCGTGCAACAGAATCCCCTGTCAAGCAGACAACCATATCTAGCAGAAATCCAAGCCTTGCCCATAGACGTGGAGAAGTGGGGGCACAAAAAAAATGCCGTACTAATACCCAACTAGGAATGCTTCCAATTGATGCCTCGAAATCACTGCACAGCAAAGAAGGCTTGAGCTTGAATTGATCTCGTGACCTCCAGGCGTCAGGCTCCGCCCAAGCCACGACCTTGCATAGCCGAACACTGATTGCTGATTACTGCCCTACCAAGTACTCTGCACTTGAGACCCTGACCCCACGCTGCACGAGGTGCCCAGCATGCGCTGGTCCAGGTGGACTTCGCCCCTCTTGGGGAGCTCAAGTGTCTGCGCCCTTAGAGAGTGCTGGAGACCAGGCGAGACATTGTGGGGGGTCAGACGAGAACCTGGGGTGTGAGGCGAGCACCAGCGCTTGGAATTCGTCTCTTCCAGTGTCCAGGCGAAGGAGGCCCACCGGGCGGATTTGCTCATGAGCTCGCCAAGACTTAGACTAATGATAGTATCGCTTCGTGATTCCGAGGTGCGGTAGGCCGGTTAAGGTCTGGTTGCTTGGCTGGATGGTTTGTTGATTGGTTGTGAGGCTGAAAGCGCGAGGTCTCGGCGATTTGAGTAACCGCATGCCTGCGAGCGCCCGAGTAGTGTACACACTGGGGTTCCGAATCACTCAGCGTCGACCGTGTCAGACTCCCAGGATCCAAAACAAGAAGCAAGACCTACTTCCCTCATCTTGCCAACTTTCGAGAAGGTGTTTATCCATTATGGCTTGGGGAAAAAGAAGTTACACAAATTCATTTGGAGCTTTGATGGTTTGAAGGCAACAACCTTTCTAACTGGCCCCGACTTGCGAAATCAATGACAGAGATGCCCAGATGGCTCCCTCTACTGAGCCGGGAAAGACGGTGAAATCGTTGATGCAGAGACGGGGCCGCGCGAGCCTCAAGTCTTTCAGGTGCTCTTACGATTCCAGGTCCGACAGAATACTATGTGAGATGTGTGGTTGAGGGTCTTCTAGCGGGGTGATTGAAGGTTTCAGGGTTCGTGGACCCCTCGGCCGGCAGCCATGCGACATCCTTAAACGCAATAATCACAATTCTCGGACACGCCGCACGTTCATGTAAGGAATCCCTTCGACATCCCAAGGAAGACACACCTCGTAAGCCGTAGCCCCTCAGAGCAAAATGCCTCGACACAAGTGCCGAAGGTAAACCGGACCCATTGCCCTCCGAAGGCAAGAAACTGCTGGCTGTATTGTATGCAAAAAACGGGTGTATTCTGCATCGGAGTTTCAGCCTCCTTGCGAATCGAGTTGCGGATGCGGGGCACACTTCGGCTTTCTTGAAGTTGCATTCGGGATTCGGGCAGATGATGGAGGCCGTCAGAGCGACAGGCCCACCCGAATCCTTCAGTCGGTCATTCCAGGTCCGCCGATGGTCCCCGGCATCGCCGTCACCATTCGGGCAGAGGACTCTGCTCTTGTTCCGTCTACAACTGGATCATAGGACAACAGACAAATTAGTTCCGAATCCGAGATCCGAGAACATCCGTAGGCATGTGATGATTGGATAACCAGGCCGCCTTGTCGCCAAAAGCTGTGGTCCACTAGCACTGACGAATGCTGTGCCGGTTTGAGGATCTTGAATGCAGTCCCGAACGGTACCAACATTGATGGTGCATCACCCCCACACTCAATCTTGCAATTTGAGACGTTTGATGTTCTGGTTTAAGGGCTACAGGGGTTTAAGACTTTTAAGACTGTGCAACAGTGGAATAAGTTTGATGAGATTCAAACAAGACGAGATCCTCCGCGCAATCGGTTTTGAGGAGGACAGCCTCAACATCCCAAGTGATGCATTGAAATCAGGCCGGGCGGGTGTTCTTAAGCTTCGAGGCCCAAAGGTCCCGAGTTTCACGGCCCAGGGGGGTCCCTGCGAGGGGACTTCGGGAGGCCAGTTCGGCTGGTCCAAGCATGAACCTTGAACCTGAACGCTTTCGGGGATTTCCGTGGCAGAGAGAACGCGCTTGCCGTTTGGAGACTTGCGTTTGCACGGAGAGGCTGGACAGGTCGCTCTGCTCCCGGCCAAGCCCCATCGCCACGGCGACCACAGGCACAGGACAATCTGCAGATTTTTGGGTGATGATGTCTGGAATCAATCAGACAGGGGATCAGAGAATGTTATTTATGTTGCTTATATGATTCTTCTGGAGACTGGAAAGGTGAGATGAAGGCAGTTCGGACATCCGGTTCAGCTTGGCACGAGCTGTCCTACGCCGACGTGTTCACTGCAAGATCTTTTCGTGAACATATCCCGTATGGGGAACGGCTGCATGGGATCTAGTAGCCCATAGTCTGCCCCAGAGCTTTAAGAAGCCAACAAAGAGATTGTCGGTTTAAGCAGGCTTCTGAGGTCGGGCGGGCCCGGAGGGATTGTTGGATTAGGTTTCCAAGCTAAGCTTCTACAACTTGATGTTGATGATCGCAGAGATGTGGACACCTAGCCTTGTGTGGTTCTGGACCTGTGTTTTCTTGGAAGCAGCGTTCGCTGTCAAGACCCGCACTGCGAGTTGCGCCCACTGAAATACTGCCATGATTGAAGAGCTCAGCAGCTCCATGTTCCGTCCTCTCTAGCGTTCCAGAGGCCTGAAGACAGACGTTTTCGCTCAGAAAATGTCTGTCCTTTTGCTTCAAGTTGCATCCAAAACAAGCCAACGGAAGTGCCGTCGCCTCGGAGGGACTCAGCCCTGCGGCCCACGGCACACAGAGTCACTTGGTCACAGATGGGAGCCGGTTCAGCCGTTTGGGCTTCGACAGGATGCTCATGTTTGCTTGGAACTGGATGTCCGATTGAAGAGGATGCATGCGTGCCATGCGTGTGCACAAATGATTTCCAAAGCTCATGCTGATGGGCTTTTCCTCGTTGCGCACGATTGTGTCATTATGCTCCGCGACAACAACGGCCAGAGCGGCTGATGCTGACGATGCTCAGCCCTGTACGCGCGCGTTTGCATCTTGCAGCAACGGCCAGAGCGGCTGATGTTGATGATGCTCGCCATACACGGCCGTGGAGGTACATGGTTGCAGCTTTCAGCAACGGTGGGAGTGCACACTTACAGCTTGCAGCAACGGCCAGAGCGGCTGATGCTGATGATGCTCGCCATGCACGGCCGTGGAGGTACATGGTTGCAGCTTTCAGCAACGGTGGGAGTGCACACTTACAGCTTGCAGCAACGCCCAAAGCGGCTGATGCTGATGATGTGCCCATGGGCGGCCCTGCAAGCGCACGGCGAGAGCGGCTGATGCTGATGATGCTCGCCCTGGGCGTCTTTGCAAGCGCACCTTTGCAGCGGCAACGGCCAGATCGGCTGATGCTGATGGTGCTCGCCCTGCACGGCCCTGCCAATGCATGGTGCCATGGTGCGAGTGCACATTTGCAGCTTACAGCAATGGCCAGAGCGGCTGATGCTGATAATGCTCGGTCGCCCTGGGCGGTCCTGCAAGCGCAGGTTTGCAGCTTGCAGCAACGGCCAGAGCAGCTGATGCTGATGATGCTCGCCCTGGGCGGTCCCGCAAGCGGCTTGCAGCAAGGGCCAGAGCGCCTGAGGCTGATGATGCTCGCCCTGGGCAGTGCCGCAAGTGCGCATTTGCAGGGGCCAGAGTGGCTGATGCTGATGCTGCTCGCTCTGGGCGGTCCCGCAAGCGCACGTTTGCAGCTTGCAGCAAGGGCCAGAGCGGCTGATGCTGATGATGCTCACCCTGGGCGGTCCCGCAAGCGCACATTTGCAGCTTGCAGCAAGGGCCAGAGCGCCTGATGCTGATGATGCTCACCCTGGGCAGTGCTGCAAGTGCGCATTTGCAAGGGCCAGAGTGGTTGATGCTGATGATGCTCGCCCTGGCTGGCCCTGCAATGGGCACGTTTGCAGCTTGCAGCAACGGCCAGGCGGCTGATGCTGATGATGCTCGCCCTGGACGGCTGCAAGTGGGCGTTTGCAGCCTTCAGCAACCAACGGTCACCCTGCGTGCAGCTTGAAGCAACAGAGTGGCTGATGCTGATGTTGCTCGCAAGATGCTGATGATGCTCGAAGCTTGGAGCATTCGCACACGCTCATGTGATTCACATAATGGCTACACGAAGCAGCCGCACCCGATGTAGAAGCGACAGTCATGCACGCCAAGGCTGGACACTGAACATCACGAGTCCACAATCTCATGATGAAGTTCAAAGAGAACACACGAGTGACTGTCAGCCTGCTTGAGTTCACTAAAGAAACTTGCTGCAGGTGGGTTGTACGGACGACTTCGGTTTGTCGAACACGTACTCTTCAGCCAGTAACATGCAAGTTTCAAGAGCGTGAAAAAATTCAATCGGCTCGTCAGAAGCCGGCAAGCTCAAGAAATTCCGAGTTTGCAAAAAGTCCAAATCCACATGCCGATTTGTACTGAACCCGGTGCTGCTTCGTTTTCGAGCGTAGACTTTTCACTTATGCAGCAAGCTTGCCACGCGCTGACTTTTTGCGACGTTTGGGTCCTTCGGTTTTGGGTGTTCGAAATGGGTCTCAGGGTTTCACGCAAGACAGACCTCTTCGAAGATTCCAAGAAGTGAGTGGCAAAACTGAGGCCTTGAGTCGAAGTCCAATTTGGAGCTCTTTGTGAAATCGCATCCGGCGAAGGCAAGGCCTCGGCTATCAGTGTTTTGTTGTTGCCACTGCTGGCGCACGCTCAATACAAGCATGACCGAAGCAAAAAATCAGATAGCAAGTCCGCGAATCAGAAGCTAAGAATGCATTCAGTTTGGTAGAGAGGTTCAGTAGATGTGCGGGTGCGGGTGCGTCTGTTTGCATGTCTGTGTTTTTGTTACTGTTGGTTGCAGATCGCATGTACACGATGAAATGTGCAATATAGAACGTCATGTATGTTGTTTTTGTAGAATGACATTTCCTTCGCGCCTGCATGTATGTAGTCATGTATTCGTACTTGAGTGCTGGTAAGTAGGTAGGCAGGTAGGCAGGCGGTCACGCAGGCAGGCAAGTGCGGATATTTACATGGTCCCCCCCCCCCGCCCCCAAGATTGCCACCGTCTCTGTTCCATTCTCTCAGACATAACCACATTACCAGACGTCTCGAACCTACCTTGTGCAGAAAGTGCTGCCCGCTATCCCATCTCCGCCTCCGCGGATTCTGCACCCATTCCTGCGCCCGTCTCCGAGCAGGGTAACCGGTGCCTGGGTCTGTGTCTGCGTCCGAGCATGGCCGGCGAAAGGGCCGGCCATACACAACACATCTGCATTCACTGCCTTACTGGGCGGTGAAACCGCGCCCGCCACTGTTCTGCTGCCCGGTCGTTTTTGATGACTTTGAGTCTTTATGAGTCTGTCTAAACTTCCGCCGCCCGCAGCAGGACAGAGGTAGGGCTGTAGCAGGCGCACAGCCGTTCCCAGACGCCGCTCCCGGCCTTCAGGAAGGCTCTGTGGTTCCGGCCTGTGACCGCCTTCTTTTCTGCTTTTTAAGTTCTCTCGGCCTGCCCGCTGCCGATA